ATCCTCGGTTCTTTTATCTTGTTTTTTAAATTGTCCTTCGTGACTTTTCCACAGAATTCCTCTGTTAATTATCTTTTTTCTTCTTCTCCATTTATTTGCCGAGGCGAGTATCGATTGGGAACTTTGAAATTAGAGTTGTTTGGTTATCCGGTTTTTGTTCCCCGTTTGAGAAATCTCCGCTTTTCAATGCTATCACTTTCTTCTTTTTTTCACAGCTTTTTTTACTTTTGAAATGGTTTTTTCAGAGAACTCTTGCGTTAATTGCTTTTTAAAATTTTTCAATTGTCTAGTCTAGCGAGCTTTCGTTCAATACTCTGTGGTTAGGGTTCTTTCGTATCCTGTTACTTGTTACTGGTTTTTCCGATTGGATTTTTAGGTGTTTCATTTCAGTTAAAAATCCGATCCCTTGATACTTCTCACTATTGTTAAAAAATTCTTTCATTTTCTTCCAATCATCCCCTTTAATTTCCCATTCGCTCAGTGCATTTCCTCGTTTCCTGATCTTCACGTATCATTCAATTTCTATAAACCTTTTTCTACTTTTCCATTCCTTGCTTCTTTCTCTCTTTTTCTTTTTTCTTTTTTTTTTTTTACTAAATTTTCCTCCCTTTTTTCATCCAGCTGTTCATCGACGTGTTCCCTCTTCGGAGCTTCGATTTCGCTATTTTATCAATTGTTTATTCTCATTTCGTTGTCTCCGTACATTCGTTTTATCTCATTTACCAATTTTCTTCTTTTCGTCTTCCAGCATACTCTCCGCCATTTCTCCCAACATTTTCACCTTTACTGTCGCGCACATCTCGTTCTGCCATTCTATTTTACATATAATATATGTGACATCGTCTCGTCCCCTTTTTATTTCCAGAGAACTCTTGCGTTAATTGCTTTTTAAAATTTTTCAATTGTCTAGTCTAGCGAGCTTTCGTTCAATACTCTGTGGTTAGGGTTCTTTCGTATCCTGTTACTTGTTACTGGTTTTTCCGATTGGATTTTTAGGTGTTTCATTTCAGTTAAAAATCCGATCCCTTGATACTTCTCACTATTGTTAAAAAATTCTTTCATTTTCTTCCAATCATCCCCTTTAATTTCCCATTCGCTCAGTGCATTTCCTCGTTTCCTGATCTTCACGTATCATTCAATTTCTATAAACCTTTTTCTACTTTTCCATTCCTTGCTTCTTTCTCTCTTTTTCTTTTTTCTTTTTTTTTTTTTACTAAATTTTCCTCCCTTTTTTCATCCAGCTGTTCATCGACGTGTTCCCTCTTCGGAGCTTCGATTTCGCTATTTTATCAATTGTTTATTCTCATTTCGTTGTCTCCGTACATTCGTTTTATCTCATTTACCAATTTTCTTCTTTTCGTCTTCCAGCATACTCTCCGCCATTTCTCCCAACATTTTCACCTTTACTGTCGCGCACATCTCGTTCTGCCATTCTATTTTACATATAATATATGTGACATCGTCTCGTCCCCTTTTTTTTTCTCCTTTTTTTTCCCTCCCCCTTTTTTTTTTTTTTTTTTTTTTTTTTTTGCAAATGCCTCCCCTCCACCTTTCTGTGTTATCGTATATACATCTCTCTTTCTCTATTTCCCGTCGTCCGTCCCATTTCTGCGTGAAATATATAACGTACCTTCGCAGTCGAACTTCTCCTCGAGCCAACGCCGGAATAATCTCGATGCAAATTCACGACCGGGCACACCCTCGTCTGAATCTCATCTCCGTGAATCCGATCCGTGAAGGGAGCTGAGAAGTCGAAAGTCAAACGACGATGCCAGGCTTCGTGCGCTTCTCTGTTGTTCCATTCGAAAACCTGTATTACCCTCTCCAAATCTTCCTTTAATTCTAACGTTCGCAGATTTCCATTCTAATTACGTTATCAGAATGTTGTAGTCGTCGAACGAAGAATCAAGCAAATTCTATTGCTTTGCTTTATTGAAAATTATTCTTTACTCGTCAGAGTTGCAAATACATTTCTCCAATATAGGAATATATAAATATAGAAATTATATAAATAAAAATATGTGAATCTGTCTAATTAAACAACGCAAAAAATCAAGCGAAATATCTGTATTTTCTCCGCGAGGTTAAACAACCTCCATGAGAAATGTTTTTTTCGCGTTTCTGACACTTACGGAAATAATCACGTGTAGCCGTTTCAAACGGACATACCGTACGCAGGTATTTTGCAAATACGAAATCAGCTAAGTGAAAGCATTCATTCGTCGATTTATTATTCTTCAACTTCGATAGAAAAAATGCGAGCATAAAACGGAGGAAACTCGCAACGCGAGAAACATTCCGCGAGGCCGTTTTACGGTGGATTATTTCTGTCGAGAAAAACATCCTACCAAAAATGATTTTTTTTTCTTTTTTTTTTTCGTAGGGAAAAGCGTGATGCTCGCCGGCTGGCGGGACGATACGACGATACGCGAAAACGCGCTTAAAAACAGCGGCTTAAACCAGCCGGATGTTTATCCGCCGCGGAATATTTCGATGAAACGCTCTTTTATTCGAATATCTGGCTGGTTACCGGGTTTGTTACGGATTTAAATTCCAACATCGCCGAATGGAAGGCCGCGTTGCGAATCGGCCTTTCGGCTGGAAAATCGTCGTTCGTTTTTCCCTCGCGTTGATTGCTTTCCTTCCTTCCTTCTCCTCCTGTGTGTTTTATTGCACTTTTTAATTCGATCAATAGGGGGGGGGGGGCGAAAAAAAAGAAAGAATCAATGGAGGGGATATAGTTTATTTAAAAGCAAAATTCCATCGATCTCGAGATTCTTTCATCGCTACGAGTCAAGTTTTATTGGCTTGGCAACTAAGTGATTGCGGATTTTGTCAATGCCACTTAATGACAGAATCCGCAATTACTTAGTTGCCAACCCGGAGTAGCTCGTTGAGATCTATTTCCAAGTTGGCAGATCGTTTCGTTTTGTTTTATCGCGTTTAGAAATATGCTCGAATTTTTATATCTCGATCCAATTGTCGTCTTAACGAGAAAAAAGATACTCGATTGTCGCTATACACAGTGTTCCGGTGACTGAAAATTTTGAATTCTAGAATTGATCGCTCCTATTAATCGAGAACAATGAAGCTTTATAAATACATGTATGAACGCGTAGCTTATAACTCATCATAAAGCGCATTGAAGCACGTGGAGATTGCTTTGATGAAATACATGACGTTTCGTAGAAACCACGCGCCATTAAATTCATGACTGTGATCACGAATATGGAATAACGAAACTGTAATAATTAATCGTTGCGAAATTACATTGAATCATATTGATATCGCTTCGACGAGATATACGTACAATTTTATAGAAACAACATTCGGGGAAGGATTTTCATTCGAAGAATTCTGTGTATCCTAACCTATAATATAACGTAGCAGCGCTTGGAAGATTCATCGAAGACTAAATTATCACGATCCTTTTCATTTTTCCATATAATGCAACGAAATTAATCTGCCGCGTAGAAAAAGAAACCGCGGAACATACTTTCACGAAATGGTAAACAATTAACGAGAGAATTTCGATAAGAGATGGAGTCGCGTAATCGTTACGAAATAGAGGTTAACGTGCAATTAAGTCGATGATTCGAGTGATCGATGAACGTTAATTGGACCGCAATTGGAGGTTCTATTGAGCGGATCGACGATACGTCTTATCTGGATATTATTATTTTCGCAACGTCGTTCGTTATATTTAGAAGTCGCATATCGATTTGTGGCCTGGCGGCGCTAGTGTCGCGTGATTAATTCCCCGACGATAAGTAAGTAAATAAGCCGGTAGCGAGAAGGGCAAAGAATGAAAATTACGCGTGTCATATGTTAATTATTATTATTGTATGATAATCGTAAGATTAACTTTACGGCATTCCAATTCACTGGATCGGGTCGCGTGTGCATCGAAACTCGATGATTGAAAATGAAATAGTCGCGAATACGTGCGTCATCTAATCGTCGAGCGTATTTGAAAATTCACGATTATACGATCGCCTTGCTCGATTAAAGAGCGAACAAGAGATTTTGCTTATTCTTATTTAACGTTATCTGTGTTAATAGCGGCTAGTAGAATTTACGTAGCACGAGCTTCTCTAACCTAGACTATCGATCGCTTATCGTTAATTATAGCTGTTTAAGCTCTATCATTGCATCAGGAATAGATACGTCGTAAGCGAAGTAAAATTTGAAGGTTATGTCGACGAGGTTGGTATTTAGGTTAGAATTCTCTGTTGGAAATCGTGAATCTTGGGAATAGATAGTTGTTCATTTGTAATATTACTATTATATCGTTTGTTGTAGTGTCGTTTTAATAAATAAATATATTTTTCCTCTTTCAGTTTTTTAATTGTTTCTTATATATTCATTGCGTGTTACGTATTACGTATTAATATATTTAGAATTATAAAGTTCCACGTTACGTTGGTTCAATATGACATGTTATCACAGTTTTATTCGCAGTATTATTCGTTCTTTCCAAATTTTTTGCCCCTCGACTCTAGTAAAAGTTCTTTCACGAGAGGATGCATAATTCATCGAGTCCAAGAAGAAAGGTAACTGAAAATTTCGTAAAAAGGACCTGTCTAATAGAGACTTACTATTCAGTATATATATCTATATAGAATACATATTTATAAATTCTGAGAACCATTCTTTACGGAACAATATTAACCAGTTCACAGAAAAGTCACAAAAGACCCTCAGATCGGCAAATCACCAATTTCAAGGAAAGGAGAAGTAACTGAAAATTCCGTAAGAAAGATTCGTTTAATAGAAACCTACCATATGTGTATTCTAGAAAAAGTGCTCTTTACGAAAACAACGTCGACCAGTCCACAAGGCAATCAGAAAAAGATTCTGAGAGGCACGAGTCGTCAATTCCAAGGAGAAGAGAAAGTAACGAAAAGTTTCATTAAAAAATCTATTTGATGAAAACCTACTACATATATATGTATTCTTGTTCTTTACGAGACAACGTCGATCAGTACACAGGAAAATCAGAAAAAAATCCGAAGATCGATCGATCGTGTAGATCACCATCGAGTCGAAAGGAAAGAATAGGATGGCCAACTTTGCTACTCGAAGAGAAACGATAGCCAGCTAACGACCGATAAAAGAGCAGTAAGAGAAATAATTACGGCGGGACAAACGATGATATAAAATATTCTGGATGAGCTATCGTCGGCATAAATTTCAGGAGCGCGCGTGACACGTTATAGCGCGATGCGACGCATAAACGCGCGCACACCGAGGCGGAAATGGCGCATTGTGCGGTATCCCTATGGCGGGATATCTGCGATTCTGGGTTGGAAGGCATTCGACGCCACGTATGCAGGTGATTGCGTTCGCCAGTGCAATGCGACTCGAACCAGGATCCAGGCATTTCGATATTAGAATAGCAATGAGTTAATAAAGGCGGGTCGACGGTGATGTTCGCTCGACAAGATTGGAAATTGCGCTCACCGTTCCGATTTTTATTCCTAAAATATTGTAATTTAAGCCCATGATTTGCACGCATATCTGTAAATAGGTGTTCTTTATCGCGGTAGAGTTTATCACCATAATTTGTCAATTATATGCTGTATATATATCGCTGAGCGGATTACATCCCCCCCCCCTTTTTATCTTACTTTTATCTTCGTTTTCTAGCCTTGAAGGCTGCTTAGCTTAATTTCATACAGTTGATTAAGTTTATTTTTATCCTTACGCTGAATCTTACACACAGTTAAACAAATTTATTCAGAAAACGCTCGTTGCTACGAACTTACTTCTTGCATTTATTAAAAACATGGTAACCCGTTTCTATTGACCTTTATAATCTGGGGTTAGGTTGGATCTGCAGCTATTTGGTATTACGCATACGTGCACTTAAGCAAAGGCGTGTTCGGTGTATAGTTCTGTGTCTCTGGATTCCTTTCATTCGTTTCTACACAATGCTCTTATCTTCATTGTCTCTCGCGTGTAGTAAAATGGCCCTCAGTTTGTACTGCCAGTATCTGTTACACCGTTTCTCTTCCCTTCGAATGCGCTGTTTAACCGGAAACCAGTTTCTCAATTCTTATTTAATCTCTATCCTAATTTTTATTTCACGTCGAATGCCACGAATTCGTAGCGGTTTTTTAATCCTATTATTAATTCTAACTTTACGCTGGGATCTCGCCGAGTATTTTAGCTATTTTCTTCTTAATTCGTACTATCGTCGAATGTCATAAGTTGGGAGGATTTTCAATAATCCTATTATTAACCCTAATTTAGCCTAGAAACCTTCAGAATGTTCTAACCATTTTGTCCTAATTTCTATTCGCGTTAAACGCCGTAAATTGGTAGAATTTTTATAATCTTCATGGTTACGCGTGTCTAATTATACTTATCATAGGGTTCTGGGCTCGAGTGTTAGATTATTTAATTTTTGCTCGAACCTCAGCTAGTTTTATTCATTGATCCAATTTATTTTCCATACCATTGAGAGTATTATAAGATGCAAGATAAAATACTCTGAAATTCAGTAATCTGATACAAATTATGCTTTTCCTAATCTAGTTTCGGTATTAGAATTTAACTGCGTTTCTTCTTAAACACGTACAGCTCATTTCGAACAAAAATAAATGATTTCACGCATCAACATACTTGTTACAAGACTAAGCGTTTATACGTATTACGAAAGTACGCTTACTGGCAATCTTGATAATAGATAGTTCACATAAACAAGGTTCCATTGCACGCAGAAATGTCTGCAACTGAGAAACAATCTCAAATAGGAAAACACGTTTCCCTCGCCCATTGCTGAAACAGGTGTCACATATTGCGGAACACCCTGTATACGATCCGTCGTAGAAATAACCGAAATGCTCGAAAATAGCAAAACACGGGCAATTTGTCGAAAGAAACGTCTTATTTTATTCGAAGTAAATGCAACGATTTTCACGAGCAACCGACGCGTCAACCTCGATGGTCGCGTGTTTTTCCGTGGAATTCCTTCGAGGATGTTTGCCACAGACTTCCGCGTGTCTCGACTGCTGTCATAACATCTCCCCTTCGTTGTTATTTTAAGCCACGGAGACAAAAAAAGGCAATTGCGCGGTTCTAAATTTGGCGAGTAGAGCGGCTGGTGCAACATCTTAACCAATTCGTCTTCGAGAGAAGCTGCTACGGCAACCGTACGATGCATCACCATACGACAAAAGCGCGTCTTTTCCGACGCGCTAACGATCTCTGTTCCGATGTTAATCGTTTCGTGTAATTTGGCTTCGAGTGATTTAACCGCCATGACAAAATCCACGATAACGCGATAACGAACGGTGTTTTTACCTTACACGATCTCGTAACGATGCCGCTATTGGCGTTTTCCTAGTCTTAAGAAGCTCGGTTATTTTCGCGACAGACCGTGTTATATTGCTTGGGAAGAAAATGGGTCGAACGTGAGCGCGTCCCGTAAAGGCAGCCACTCTCCAGGTCAGTAATAATTCGGGACGTACGTGCGCTCGCGTGACCCAGTCTGCACACGATGCATTTTTCCCAGCGACTTCCGGCCAGCCTCCACCCCCGACAGTCAGCCAAGCCAACCGTCGCGATGCTTAGCAGAATTCACCGGACCCTGCCTGGAAATTATCTCGTGTGAGGGGGCAGTTTCCAACAGTTTGCTGCGTTGCAAACCAAGCTCTATACGTGTAATATATAGATATATATGTTCCCACACATTGAACTTGCCTTTGACCAATTTCATATTTGTCGCAATTTTGTTCGTTCAATTAGTTCAGTTCGCAGAAACTGAAACACGTTTTCGCAACATTTACTTCTTACACCTGTTGGCATTAAGAGTCGTATATATTTACTTTATACCGTGTTATCGTATAAATGTTTCATAATGTACGTGCCGTAATATACATCATGCGCATGCCATACATTCGTAGTATATATCGCTTTGTTTGTTTCGTTTCACTTCATTTTATTTACGTACGTATTCCATTAGTCTATATTAGCGTGAAGAGTTCGAGCGCGAGAGGATGGGAAGGAAACTTGGTTGATCCACGTCGAGCTTCCCTTTCACGAGTTTCATATTTGTTGCGATTTTGTTGGTTCAATTAGTTGGCAGAAATTTCCGCAGACACGTTCCAGTGACGGTGATTTATTTGTTACAGTTCGGAGTTAACGTTAGGAACCATACATATGTTTGTTTTATAATGCTTTATTTATTCCATTTTACTTACATACACTGCACCTGCCTACGTTACGAATGGGCGAGCCCGAGCGCAAGGGGGTGGAAAGAAAGCAACGTTGGTACACGTCCAGCTTCCCTTTCGCGAATTTCATATTTATCGCAATTTTGTTCGTTCAGTTAGTTTGCGGAAATTTAGACACGTTTTGGGGACATTTATTTCTTGCAACTCTGGGGTAGCGTTACGAACAATACGTTTATTTTATATCGTCTTGTTCTATGGATTTTATTATGTACATTATAATATGCATATATTATACGTTCATAGTATACATTTATTTATTCATTTTTTATTTATATTCCAAATATTACGAAGGGGTGGAAAGAAAGCTTCGTCGCTCGACGCCGAATTTCCCTTTGATAAATTTCATATCTATTGTAGTTTTGCTCGTTCAGTTAGTTTATGCAAATTTAAACACATTTTCGAGACACTGATTTATTTTGTTTCTTTTGCAATTCTAAGTTGACATCAAGAGCAACGTATTTATTTTATGCTCTATTGTTCTATAGATTTTGCGTAATATATGCGTATTATAATATGTAGATATTATACATTCATAGTGTATATTGCTTTATTTATTCTGTTTTATTCTATTTTATTTATATACATGTTCCGCTTCTGTATAAAGGGGCGGGCTTGAGCGCGAGGGGGTGGGAAGAAAGCTTGGTTGCTCGACACCGAGCTTCCCTTTCACGAATTCCATATTTATTGCAATATTTTTCTCACTATATTTTGTCAATTCACGGCGAACGTTACGTCGCGAAATATTTAACAGAAATATTTTTGCGTTGAGAAATATTCAATCGCTAAATACTTCAACGAAATTCCCGATCAATTTCACCAACGATAACGAAGACGATTTAATAATTAATTAGAAAAATTAACAAATTCTCTTTCGTAATAAATGCAATAAGAAAGTCAATAGCATTGCGAAGCAAATCGATGATATTTTTCCGTATTCTTCGTAACATCTTGATTCTGATATTATTTGTAAAAAGTGTTCATCATGACAAAATACTCGTAAAAAAAAAAAAAACATTCGTTACAACGCTCGTTCGTTTTAAAGCCTTTTTCCAGTAGAAGCACGCTGCAGTAGAATTGTGAAAAAATCTTTGTAGAACAAACTTGGTCACAGTAAGGTCGAAGGATTATTAATTCCTCTTGCGTGTTCCTTATCCTTCAACTTATTTCAACTTGTTTCCATTCGTCCATCGAACGAGACTCTTTGCTTTCCTTAAAAACCGATAAACGTGTTTGCCTGGTAGCTACGGGGCCGCTGATCGCGGATACGTCGATTTATTGGATTATCGTTGCAGTTTGCTCCGGAAGTGGTTAAGTGCCACGACGATATTCTTTTTTCTTCTTCCTTCTTCTTCTTCGCCGATTCTTTTTTCTCCTCTCTTCGGACGTATATGTAGAAGCTAGTGTAGAGGAAAATCGTTTCCCTCGTTACATCGAGAGAACAAAAAAAAAAAAAGAAAAGAATTTGCGGACCGGATGACGCGGAAGTTGCAAAGTCTTTGTTTCGGTATCCGTCGTTGAACCCGTTGTTTGTCTTTGATCGCTGTTTTGTTCTCTTATGGTCGATGCCTTCGCGCACACAAAATAGATGTCCTTCGATTTCCTCTCTTTGCTGTAGTTTCTTTGTCGTATTTTGTATTTACGCGCAGAATTTATTTTATAATCAGATCGCGTGGTATTCATGCAAAATTATGTTTTTGTAAACGCGTTAAAAAAACGATAGCTAAACGAAGATGCATTTCACCTACCAAATATTACAATAAATGTTCCACCTCGCACTTTTAAATTTCTTGCAAATGCCCATTCTTTAAACGTTCCCATAAATAAAACATAAACGACAAAACACGAGAATCTGCGGTCTACTTATGGTATATTTGCTTTGTTTATTTTACATCCTTTAGCGTTTTTTCATTTTATAGTTTGTATTCATCGATTTATTATTTTATACAACTTTTATTCTGCCGGATCTATACGCAAGCGTATTAATGCAAAAAGCTACTGGTATTTTAACTGAACACTGGGTGTAATCCACGTGGATTATTTTTTGTTTACGTTACGTTGCAAAATGTGGACACTTGTCGTGCACGCAATGTGGCAAATTACACGCAACAGGAAGTAAGAAAGATTTCCGTAGAAACCTTCGCTTACCGATGAGATGGTAAACGAACCTTCGAAATATCCAACGAAGTAAAGTGAAATTCACAAAGTCTGTTAACGAAAGAATCTCAGATAAAAGAGCAAAGAAGTAATTCCCTTGACTTAATAACCAGGAACAATGCACAGGAGTTATACGAGCGACAGTTGACGTGCACATTCTGTAGCTTTTAACTGCGTGTACCACTTTTACCTGAACCGTA